TTCACTTAACGTCCTGTTATCATTCCGTGCCGACTCTAAAACTGCATTCTGCATTTAGTGGCCCCGGCCCGTCGTGTGCGGTAGCAGCTCAAACAATTTACGTTGTTTCTGAAAAGTTGTCGTTACGGTTTATTTTTCATCTTCCACTTCCGGGCAAGCTTTGAAAAATTTGAGAAAATGAAAACATAAAGGGAAATAAAGAAGGAAGCAAGCGTAACAGACCAAAAAGTTTTCGAAAAGAAGTGTGAAACCGACAAAAAAGAGATACTGAAATGAAGAGAAGAAGTAAGCACCAGGAAAATACTGAAAAAAGCAAAAAGGAAAAAGATGTAAAAGAGTAAAGATAGAGATATACGATGTCACAAAACGGAAGAGAACCAAAAAGAAGAAAGAAAAGAATAGAAAATTATGTACATGATTATGGAAGAAGAAAGACAGTAAAAAATGAACCAAAAAAAAAATCAAAAAAAAAAAATATAATAAGAAAATAGTGAGTTTTACATGCAGTTTGTCAGTACCTTTCAAAATGTCATAGCCCAATTTACTTTCAAAACTTCCACTTGAGTGAAAAACATCACAATCGGTAGACTATTAGCAGTTTGCAAAAATCAGATTTAGTCCATTTTAGAAAATTTAGGTCTCCGGAAATAGAAGATAATTACAGACACGTACCTACTGCAGCCTGCTTTCGAAAATTCTCTTAGCACCAATAGAGCTCTAAGTGTCAGAGTAAATTTGGGATTATACAAGATGAAGTCAAACCGCATGTCTCAACTTTCAGATTTTCTCCAAACCCTGAAGCACCATGTGCAGAATGGTATTCAGAAGTATTGGCCACCGTGTAACAACTAAAGTTACGCTTACTTTTAGCAGTTGGTCTCTTATGATTTCTACCATTTAAGGGTAGAACGGTGCTGCTCGTCTTCCCCGAAATGCAGATTTTCTAACATGTTGAATTCACCTACAAACCGATAAATGTCATGTAACAGGCAAAAAACATGTACTTGTTTTGATGCGCTGCCTCTAGCTAACCATCGAACCACTCATCAACAGTAGCCATAAAAGAATGATTTTCGCATACAAATGCAGTTGGTCGCAGTAAAATGCTATTTCCATTTCAAAAATGCATAGAAGCATAGACCTCTACACCGCAAAAAATTGGGAAGTTTATGCGGTGATTTCCTGCCCATCTTGTTCTGAGACCAGATTGTATCTTTGATATGAACAACTTTTCTACACTATTCGAAACAATTTATCTGCCTGTGTAGAAGCAGATCGAAAAGTTGTTTCAGCGCTCCGTTACCTCCCTCTACACAAATTCGCTCTTCTGAGTATCAAAGTTCATTTTAGGAAAAGCCCTCCACGACTTTACCAAAAATCAGTGTCAATTCAAATTTTCCACCGCAACATAGGCTTTAATCAAGGCTGCTTTCTGTTAATTCGTGCGCATTTTAAAACCTTCAAACAACCAGAGAAGTTCAAAATCAGCACTGTTACAGGTTTAGAAACAACTGACGCGGAAATCAGGAAACGAACTTTACAAATATAATCTCTTCCTAACTTTTAACTGCTCTTAAAAAAGAGCAAATTTTCCTCTGAAATCTCATTGTAAAGAAATTGATGCAAAAAGATGCGGCATAAGTTGTTTTACGGTGATCAACGCTAAACTAACGCAAATTTAAAACTATTTTAAAACATCTTCCCAGACTTTGTTTACATGGTCAATTACTATACATTGAATGCTAAAAAATGTTCATACTATTAAAATTTAATCAGCACACAAGAACTACAATGGCACAGTGCATTACCATATACACCGAAAAAAAACTGCACGTTTAAAAACAAACATTTCAGAAGCACCGCTGATCACGAGTGACTGTTCGAGGTGCAGCAAGAAGAACACTCAGATAGGTATTTGTATCACTCCCGAAAAATGGATATATCAAAAGAACTTACCCCCGTCCCTCCAAGAATGAGACGGGAGTCAATTTACAAAGCTAACTAGACAGCCTTTGTATTAGTAAATGAACAACTCCAAACTGTAGAGACCGCTTTAATTACACCCTCTAAGTCCTCATACTTCAGTTAACATTCTTGTACCTATAACATGCAAAACGAACTCTATGTCTTTCTAAACGTGAAATGACTTGCAAGACTGTGCTATAGATAGTTATGCTACTGAGTTTACTGGTAATCTTGAACTTTTCGGTCGAGGATAATTTGGAGGTAATCGCAACGGCTAATTTGCGTTTAGAACTGCCACAGTCATCTCAGCCCCTCAAAATTGGCCTATTTTCAACCAAATCATCGGTGGTAATAAAGAATGAGCGTTATGTAACGACTGAAAGTAGGCAGAGAAGAGACGTCAGCGAAAGTGTCATTCCCTTAGGGGACTAAATTTCCTTGAGCCACACGCCTTTTTTGCAATCACAATTTAACTGAACATCTGTGATATAACTATCACAGATTTCCTGAATTTTGTAAAGTTAATACCACAAAACAATATTATTGAAGACTTTAAAGAAATATGTCAAAAGAATGTAAAGTAAAAGATGCGTCATTCGTGACGATAGCGTCAAATCGACTCTTGAAAAAAATTGTGAAGTTTCAACACAGTCACGCCATATTCACTAAAAGCATTAAAACCGCGATTAAGAGAAGTTAATAATGCGACTTATTATAAAAGTGAACTTAACAGAAAAATTCTACAAATCTCCGCTCTATGTGCCTCTACCACCTACTCAAATAAAAGTCGTCGTTTCGTCGGGAGTACAAGATAGATAAATTAAACTTGGTTGTTGGTTTGAAATGACGGTTCCTCACACTTAGAAGCTTCTTCTTCGACCAAGGCTTCATTCTCCGTCTCAACAAAAGTACCAACTCCAATACAGATCTTGCACCTGCCAAAGTCAACAGCAACATTATTAATTGGAACTAGCTTCCAAAAAGTACCCAAATTATTATTAAAAAAATTTATACTGAAAACCAACGCATGTTGTTCAAAATCGGCACATCCAAGGTGAATTTCACTAGAGGGTTTTTGGTCTTCGCTGGGATAATCAAACGCAGTGAATTCGGATGGAGTGTAATCTTTTGAAATGCCTTAACTATTCAAACCACTCTTTCAAAAGTTTTTTCAAAAATTAATTGAATAAAGACTGCACTTAGTTTGATAAAATACCCAAAACTAAGAAAATCTGCTTTTAGCATTTCAAGAAGAATGCGAAGAAAAAACAGTAATACTTTTGTCAAATAACTCCAGCTTAATAACAGGATGACAACTGCCTGGAAATTTTCTCGACTGTTTTGTAAATTCACTGACGCTACTCAAGACGCTAAGTACTTGGTTTTTGGTAGATTCAGCATTTACGTAGTTTACTCTATTCATATGTTCCCCGGAAACACTAAAAACAGCAAACTACGTAGAATTAAAATTACTTTTCTCGACACAGTCATAAAGTACACAAATAGCAAAGGCTTAAAAACGCAGCCAGAAACATCTACTGTGTACGCTTTTATTACACGCAACAGGTTTTTACCAGTATCGACATAATATCATCAAAAAAATACTACGTATTCTTTTGTTGCTTACTTTCACAAAAAAATGCCCAAAAAATCACGAGTGGAGCACTCAGTCTTCCGATATTAATAAACTACGTCTACGAGTTGAAAATCAAATTTAAAAAATTTGAAATAATTTTTGACTTGACTTCGCTGTTAAAGTCACCTTTGAAAGCATCTAGAATATGAGTGCAAAACACCTTTTTACCAGAACCAGATGACTTATCAACGAAAAAAACTAAATATAACTTCTTAGTAAAGAAGTAAAAGCAATATTTCAAATATATTTTTAGATTACTTAGAAATAGTTATCGAACGCGGCGGTGAAGCATATCTTATAACGAAATAAAATGTCTCAATAGCGTTCGATCCAACCTGATCTTCAAGTGGACATATATGAACAATAATTTTCCTCAGCTGAAAAAAAAGCAACCAAAAAGAAGTAATGCAGGCCATCTAACAGAGTTATTTTTTCATATGTAAAACCTTCCCGCAACAATTTTTAACAATTCCATTGTTTAGGAGTTTTATCTGGAAAACTTCTTCCTCAGTAGTTAACATGAAAGAAGTATATTCATCAAATTAAAAGTAAATCCCACCCATACCAATAATGATGTAAACTCCTAGTAACGACGACCATTTTTAAACTTTAAAGGGAATTACAACTAACTTACAATTTAGTGGAAATAATTATAATTCTGTATGTCTTCAGTTAGACTAATTTCCGTACTTCCTCATAAACCTTTTTCAAAAAACTATTTGAAAAAGCAAAACCGATACATATTTGCGTTGAAGTGCATCACCAATACTTGCAAGATAACGGTAAAAAAGCTTTCCTACTGCACCCATTCTATTCACCACCATATAGCGTGAACCTAAATATGTTTATTTTTGAAAGCTATTTTCTATGCTTCAGACTTCTGGTGCAAAGTTAAAAAAAAATTGTTCATTTTAAAGTAGTGAGAAAATGATAAAATAATGATTAAAAACAAAAGTAACCACGTACAAAATTTAAAAGCACTAAAAGTAAAATTCAAAATCTGAAAATTTAACAATACAGTCGAAGATGAAAGTTGAAAAATTAACAAAAAAGAAATAAGAAAAGTAAAGTTCCAATAGCAACCTTCAATAAACCTTGGTTTAAACGTTTCATTAGAAAAAACCCTCCGTTTATAAAGGTAATGAGATAGACTGATCAGTAGCAGTCTTTTCAAGTGCACAATCGATGCTCGACCTTCCGGAGAGCCAGGAAAAGTAAGTTCATACTGAAATGAAAATTAATAGTGATAAGTGATAATTTAAATCTGGCACAACAACTTACAGTGACTGTGAGCCTTGTCAGTTTACTTAAAGTGTTCAACAAATATTGAAGAAGATTGTCATTTATGATTTCCTGTTTGTCATTCAGAGAAAAACACGATTGAAAAAGTGAATTCAATGTCATGTTGAATTAAAAATTAAGCACTTACAAACACAAATGAGATCCTTTGTTTCAGTTCCATTGATACAAAAATAACTATTCCCTAAGTTTTTAAAAATAATTGAACAAGCTAAAAGAAAAAATTGACTTACATCACTGGTTTGTTTACTTTGAAGTGAACACATTCTGAAACAAGAAAAATCAAATTTTGAAAACATATATTAAGGTAATACAGTTCAAAACCAATGTAAGCGTGCTGAGAGAAGCAATGGCTTTTAAACAGATGGTCTTCTTCCTTGATTTTCAAATGGTAAATAATATGCAGACGAATTTAACTTTACAAACCGTTTAGTTACGGTCACAATGGGTGATAATAACCAAAGTTGCAATATATAAGTTCACATGAAAAAAACTCAACGTTTAAATGTATCCACTGATAACAACTGTAGCAATGTGTCAGCTTTGTGAAACAGAAGCATCATTTGCTGGAGAAGAGTGCCAGTCGCCTTAGTAGCAAAGGACTATGCCAACTGCTAAACGATACAGCCGTTATCGCTGTTCCAACTCTTGTACCCATCTGACAAATCCATATACGCCTCCGGCAATATACAGTAACTGCGGCTAGCGTGGTAGAGTGCTACTAAAAGAGGAATCGTTCGGTTAGTCGAATAACAGTGACGAAATCCTGAATGCCCTATGAGGTTACTGTAATGCATCTTCCTGGGTGCGAACGAGTGTTACCAAAAACGGATCGGTGTTCTGTAACATGGACATTTTCTATATACATGTTTCGACAATTACTAAAGGCACCTTCTGACAGATAAAGTCGGCCGTGTCTAGGCAATGGTTTGTCTTTAGTTGGTTGTGGTTTTAAAACAGGTACTTTCGACTGTTTTTTTTGGCAGTACTGATAAAGTATTTTCATCAAATGTTTACATGATAATTCTTTGAAATAATAACTTCCTGTAAGGCTACTAAAAAAAAAAAAAGTTGAACAAACAAAATAATGTTTGCCATCACAGGAAATAATTTGTGATTTATTTTTTTTCAAAGTGGGCTAGAAATTGAAATGACGTGGAGAGATGGCATGGTAGACATTAATGTTAAAATCAGATTTACTTGGGATTTACGGATAACATTCTGCCAGTTAATTTTTTTTTCGTCTTTCATGTACGAACTTTTTCATTAACCTGGTTTATTACCAGTTTTGATAACCTGTATTTTAATTTTAAAAAAAAAAGACTGAGAACCATTTGAGACTTCTCAATGAAGCATATTTTCAAATAAACATTTTGTTTGTTGGGAAAAAACTGAACGACAAGAAATGATTCATTTCTTCCGTCACCAGGGTATTTTTTTATATCGCAATTTTTTCAGGTGCTGTTATCTGCGTCATTTGTGACTGTTTTTTGAAACATTTTTATTTTTAACATACTTCGTAACACGATAAATGGGTGTTATTTAGTCATATTTAAGATCTAAAAGCCAGTTTTGGGACAGTAATCAATAAGATTTGTTAAACTGCATTCTTTCGACACGAATCTGTTGAAGAATTGAAAATTTCAAATATAACAACTTAGCATAAGTAGTTTTTTGACAGTAAGTTTGACTTTTTTTGCCGTTGATTACTTTTGATTTATTAGCGCCAGTCTAGCGCAACGGCCTAGGCTCCACTTAAGGGAGAGAAAGAAGAAAGGTAGTTTGAAATTATACAGAGAGAAATGTTTAAAAAACAAATTGAAAAGTTGAAAGGAAATGTTTTTTTTTTTTTTTAATTTGGACTTTATGAAGGACGCAATAAAAGGTCTGCGGTATGCGCTATTTTGGGGCCAAATTATGAGCTACAGCTAAAATCTAAGAAAAGAATTATGGATCATCACTGTATGGAAAAAAAAAAACAGGAATTTGTATTGCCCGTCATCGTTCTAATGTCTAAACTTAGAAAAATCAGAACTTGTTTTTGGAAAAGGAAATGGATAACCCAAAGAATTAAACCCACGTATATGAGGATGTAGATCAGAAACTGTTTTCGCTTAACATGTTTCTTTTACTCTTTTTAGAAGAAATGAAGAACACTATAGATACATTTGGTATTTAGTTTCTTTCTCTTTTTCATAAATTTTGACCTACAAATATTTGTGTCATTTGCGGTCGTGTTGGTCATCGGTTTGGGGTGTGAAAGTTGGAAGATGCAAAAAGTTTATTTACATTTTCCAGTATACCTCGAATATCCTACAAACACTGTGGATATACTACGAGACGATGGTGATAGTATTTTGGAGCAGTTCAGCTGAAAAAAAAAACTGATATGTACCGTCTTATTAGCTCGTATTTGTTAAAATTATTAAAAGTTGCTACTTGTTCCCTCAGAAAGACCATAATGTTTACAGTGAACTTGTCATAATTCTCAAAACTTATTAGCGTACAAAACGAAATAAACAGCGAATATTTGTTACCTCTCAAATATGTACTTAATAAAGAGTTGACATACGTTTTTTTCAATACAGTTTTGTACAAACCTAGAAGATCTTAGAGGGGACATAAAAATCTGATTGACCGAATAACGCGCAAGGCAAAGGTGTTTGCCATTTTGTAATAGCGGAGTTTTCTTTATTAGTTTTACAACTTTATTACGAAAGGCTGCTATACATATGATATGTTCTAGATCAGTGGTTTAATATAGTGGTGTCATTGTAGGAGGAGGAACTTTATTAATTGTGGGATCCACATCCATGCAGGAGATTATTATTTCCTTCAAAAAAATCATCTAAGTAGTTTTTATAATTCGCACGAATCATTTTCCTCGAATGCCGAAAAGATTCCCGAGACCACTTAAAATATTGGAGCCACCAGTTCTTCGTTTATAATCTTCCGCTTCTGTTTGAAATCTTTGCTCTTGCAGTTTTTCAAATGCTGCGCATTTTTTGTCTTTGAATATGTTTGGTAGCTAAAATACAACAGCACTGAGGACAGCAATTTTAAATTGGGGAAATGTTGGTAAAGGTAGAAAGGAATTTCCCTTTGGTAGATCAAACTAAAACGCGCCTTACCGAATTGGCTGTAGTTGCTGCTTCAAAAAGAAGATTAGTTTTCAGTTTAGCTCCTTCAATTTCATAGTCTACAACAGCATGTTGACAGGCCAGCAACCTATCTGGCGCTCGTTTGGATACCCAGTATTCCAGTAACTCCATATTGCTAGGTGTGTAGGATCCTTGCTGGAAAAATTTACGTCCATATTAACACAAATTATACAACATAACTTCTGAAGTTAAGTCGAACCAGCAGTCATTTTTTACCTCAATACTGTTTGCAGCAAGCCATTCGCCGATCATAGCCAACTTAAAGGCTTTTCCGAGCAGTGGATTGTCTATTTGAGAAAAGAATTCTTTTTCTAACTGTAAATTAACAATAAACTGTTAAAAATTATCAGCATTTACATGAGTACAAATAAGTGTCATTAAAATTTGGCGCTTAACATACATATCTAGCTTTCTAAGACAAATCTCTGTCTAGTCATGTACAGCTGCAATTGGCATTCTTTTAAATTCCATAATAAGCTCATAGTGGATGCAAAAAAGCAAGTCGGCTGCAGCTTTTTGGCACTAATTTTGAGATTTGGGGATTCTGCTGGTGTATGTAAAATAACTACTTGAGTAATTATAAAGCAGTTAATAATAATTTAAACTAAGGATGTATGATATATTATTTGAAATAGAAAATTGTCTTTTGCCGCTCAGTTTTTTTTAGGAAAACAGAGATAAATTGTTCTAGAAGAATAATATTAAACGAAACAGCTAAAAATAATTTTTAGTGAAGAAAAAAAGTGTTACTTCTTCACGAGTATTTGCTCTTTCGTAAAATTTCATCCAGACGTCCACAGCACCTTCTTTATTCCAATAGTCTTTTTGCCAAACAGATTTAGAAAACGCTGAACACATAGTAAAATTTGGATCTTCTGGCGGTGGACAAAGCTTCACTGTCAAGTGGTATTTTCGTTCTTCAGTTGATCGACAAAGATTACCATCCGTATTTTCCAATAATTTAATCTTTCTAAACTACAACAATTACTAAAAATAATAATTAGTAAAGACAGCCTCAGCAGTTAAACCAATAATAGGTCATTTTTCATGTTGCTGTTTAGATAAAAGAAACCTAGTCTGTTTACACCAGTCACAGTAGAAGCATTCACGGCCACATGTAGCTACATCCATACATCGTAATTTTCCAATTGGTTGGATCATGACATCAAGCTTCATTGCTAGCCGATTAATGTGAACACCTGGAAAAGTTTTCCAACTATAGCTAAGCTTCATTTCTCTTCTAACTACTTCTGCTTTCATTTTATGATTTTTTCATAGAAGTGTGATACTTACGTGGCGGTAATTCCACATCAATACCCATATCAAAACAGTCTGGCCAGGTGAGTTTTAGTGTTCCGTTACCATCGCGTTCAGATGGATGATGGAATGTTGGGTTAGATAGTTTAATCGGCTCTGTACACGGTTGACCGCTAACTTCTTTGCAACAAGCCGATGTTCGTGCATCTTTTAGTTTTGCAATAAACAAATTTTTACTGATAACTGCCTGCAATGAATAAAACAGTTTTAAGTTTCAACTGTGGAAGGTACTATTACTGTTTACTTAGACCTCCGTCATTAGTTCATTTGAAAATTATAGATCAAATATCTTTATCGCCTCATACTTCTCTTAGTTTCAACTACATATTGCAAAAAATCTATTTTTGCAAGTAACTTCAAGTGTTTTTAATTAAATTGTCCATTGGAAAACCGTTTCCCTAGTAATTTATCTACCATAATTTTGCAAAAAATTACATCATGTATTTTTTTGTACTAAAATTTGTACTGCTTTAAAAAGGCAAAGGTGTTTGTTAAAAAAGAAAACACTCAAACAATAAAATACTTTTTGTTCTTAAAATTTTAGCAGCCGTTATCGTGACTAGTTTTTGAAGCAAAAATGATCGCAAGTCAAAAAAAGCAAATCCTGCTTTTTGCGATTTGGTGAAAGCTTCACAGATTAGCTTACTAGACTAACTGTGAAATATTTCAAGACTTAGTTATTATAAAAAAAAAACAAGGGAAAAGAGATAAGGAAATAAAGATTAACAAATATAGAGATGCTCATAATTTGATTAGCTGTTAACAAGTGAACTGTTTTATCAGTAACCTCTATTTTAGACTTATCATAAACAAGTTGAATCAGCACAAAGCCATCAGCAAGAAAATTGCTTACAATGAATTCTCGTTATATCAAATAAGAATTGTTACAGCGAAATATGGCACTCACTTGATATGATCGATCGCCAAGTTTTTGTACAGTTCCAGTTGCAATTGGAACATCTTTATCATTGTAGACAATAGTATTACCATTTTTATCAGCAACAACTTTACCTGCACTTCTTCCCTGTGCATCATAGCACTGTGAAATTCCCGGTGTTTCAGCTTAAAACAAAGAAAAATTTTCTTATTCTTTATCATCTAATTATAACCATTAAGTTTATATGCCTATTTTAAATCGGACAAAAAAGGAAATTAAAACTAGTTTTAATTCCTTAAGTGTAACATTTGTTATACAGTGATATGCCAGTAGTAACCAATTTCAGTAGTCTCGGTACATTATAGGTCAATGAAATAATTATCTAAAAAATTTTTAACAACTTTTATTAACTATCATTAAAAACACTAACAACAAACCTGTGCAATGATATTTTTCTGTTCGTCGTCCAAATAATGACTGTGCAAATTCATCATCCTTACCGATATCATGTGCCGATAATGTGGCATCAGTTTTTTTACCATTTTGCTTTATTGTATAAGCATATTTACCAGATTTATTCTTTTCCTGCAAAAGAAAAAATTACAAGATTTTTATCGACAAATTTTAGTGGCAGTATATTAGTGATCATTCATTTGGCCAACAAAAAAAAAAACTATTTTTTTTTATTCATAAATATTATTCAGTAAATTGCTGCAGTTTACGATCACAAACCTTATCATAATAAAATACTGTACCAGAACCACTGTTATTATTCTGTGTTTTTGGGTTCAACTGGAAATTGAAACGTTCATTTGTTGCCAGAAATTCGGTATCTTCCGGTGTTTTCAGTGAACCTTTTGCAATTGTATCCAGTTCATATTTACCGTCAGCTTTCAAATTAGCATGTTTTCCTTCTTCGTCTTCTTTCAGTTTCAACTGTCCTCTAAATAAAACAAACAAACGAGTACAGTGGCGAAAACCCTGTTGACTAAAAAGTTGAACATCTGTAAGTTCTCAAAATTGGCGTATGCCAAACACTTGATTTTTTTACCATCTGCTTCATCCCCTCTTCTGGAAAAAACTATCTATTTTGTTGAGCACTTGCTGTATAGTAAAGGCAATCCAAGTAAGAGAACCAGAAATTTGGAGAAATTAAAAGATTACGCATAACCCAACTCTTTAGTTTCTACTGATTTAGCGACAGAGATTAGCTTACTAAGCAGACATATCTTTTATCTATGCTTAAATTATATCGCCCTCTATGCACTTGAGAGAACAAGTTTCGTCAAAAAAATCATGTCAATTTTTCCTTCATAAAGGCATAAAAAAGGTCTCATACTTTTTCACAATTAGCATAAAACTTTTTTTACGCTGTTATCTACAGGATTCTTCTACCAAAAAAATATGGTAAAAACCAATAAGATACTAAATGCTCGTGAGAAGATTAAAAGTATAAATTTATGTAACTGTATGATAACAAATGAGAAATTTTGGTTATTAAAAAACTCATCTCTCACGCGACTCATCTCTTCAAAACAGCTACAATTTTCAAGTAAGAAAGAGCATTACATAATAAGGAGGAAGGCACTAACAAGCAAATGGTAAAAGCCTATTTTTTCAATCTCTGTCAAAAGTTTTTTACTTTTTCAATTACTCTTGTTGTGTTTGAAATCAGAACTACTAAACAGCAAAGAATTCTCATGAGAAATGTCAACCAAACTATAGAACTTTGTTCAAATTGCAGAGTGATAAAGTTGTGATTTCAAAGCTACATAACTGCTAACATCAAAGCACAAACTTATGTCCATCAACTTGAGCCAGGCCTCCTTTATCGCCAAAACGCTGTACCTGAGCCCGTTTGCCATCAGATGTTTCAGCTGCAGCAACGTTACCGTGTACAGATGCCGATAATTGTTTCTTGTAATTAAGCAGGTCAACAATCACTTTTTCTTTGTCGCTGGCGTCTAAACCTACCTGAAAATTGCCTTTTAAAATAGTGCTGTCAAAATATTTATTGAAATGGTCAAAAAAATTAATACATTAAACAATAATTTACATTAAAGTCTTAATGTTACATTTTTTTCGGCCATTGAAACATGACACTTTTAAAATTTCTTTCAGCTATTCTTTTTCTTTCATCGTCTTTTTTTTTCTTGTTCATATTGTTTCATTTCATTTTATCTTTTAAAATTGTATAAATTAGCAACAAATCATTTATCGTCTTTAAAAAGCCAGTTTTCAATTTTTATTTTAAATTTCTTATCAAATGTAACAATAAAAATTTTTTTCAGGACCCATGAAAGCAGTATTAAGTTATCGCATAAAAGCTGAGACTAACTATTTGTTTCAAGACATACGAAGTAATTTTGACGCTGAAAACAAAAAGGAGTAAAGATATTTTCAAGCATTTAACAGTAGTACAGTGCAATTCCAAAATTAAACTGACATTGTTTTGCTGAATAAAACTGGAACTTTCTCTTATTAAAGCTACTGAAATACCTTTTCATTGGTAGGTAGGTTAGAAAGAGAAGTACAGGTTTTTTACCAGTTAGTCAAAGGTTCCGCTACTGTTTTAGATAGTGCATTAAAAAAAGTAAGCGAAATTTCTTTAAAGACCTTAGCTGGCCGCTTCAATAGCATATTTACAGATCAAATCAATTCTGCACTTTATTCTAACTTTAATTTCTCGTTATCATTAAAACAACCCAGGAAAACAGTAAGATACAAGGTCACATGAATCTTTCATTCCCCTTCTAACCACATAAACTGTATTTTGATTAAATTAAATCAAATAATTGAAGAAAGCCCCATTTGCCCTCCTCATAAATTGTTTTTAAATTGTAACCGGTCTTAGTGTATCAAGTTTTATTTCATTTCTCATTTTTTTCTAGATAGCTTATTTTTTAATATTTTGATAAGTCCAAGAAATTCTTCTAGTAATTCAATTAATGCCTTGTATGAAAAGACGCAATAGTGAGACACTAACGAAGAATAGAAGGAAACGAATCTGAATTCAAACACAAAAAACAACGCTCTTGTGTTCCGGCACAACATTCAAATCAAGAAGAAATTGAGTCAACGTTAAACATAGAAGCATTTTTAAAAGATGATTAAAAAAAGATAATTTTCAGATAAAAAGAAGAAAAATTTATTCACAGATCTAATAATTTTTTTGGTGATATACGCTTGTAAAAATAGTGACATTTTTATAACTTACCCGTTGAACTTCCTTACCAGTCTTATCCAACCAAGACGAATCTATGTCAATGTGTTTACGCTTTTCATTAATTGCTACATGATTTGGACGGACTGTTGTAGCTGCTAAACTAAGTGAAACTAAGCTCAAATACAGTGGTAGACGATAGGACGAAAAACAGAGCATTTGGTGGATCGACAAATATGGACTTTGTTAAAATCAATTTGGCTGTAACGACCCAGCCGACTTTGACAGGCAAAGAACAACAGAATAGGAACACTGGCAATCAATGCCCACATCCCTGGGATATTAATCAAGATCTTCGTTACGCCGGCAGAAGCACTTTGGGCAGTGCTCCGCCACCAGTTACAAGGTCGCCTGCAGGCACGTCAACAGAATGGGCTCTCTGTTACCTGGTCCATAGACCATTCGCCGACGCCTATGACTCATGCAGTTAGCCGGTTTGTAGCCGCTTCATACATTTCTGAATCATCGTCACTTTAACCAAATTACAGAGTTTCTTTGACAGAATCAAGTTTTTCAAATATCCGGTTGTTAAGGCTTAACTGTAATTTTACAAGGAATTAGTGATTTTGTTTGAAAAAACTGATAAAAACGTTTCGCCTCATTTATTCAAATGCACTTTAGGCAGAATAGGACTCTTTTGGTCTGACTAAGAATTACTGCTAATTTAGCCAATTTTTTTACACAACCCTTAAATCCTCAGCAGAGGTTTACAAGTGACCAACAAAAGTATACATACATTCACACAAAATATCATTGGGTGAAAGAAAAAAGAACATTTCTTCTCCAGAAAATAACAGTGTTCTATCTTGAAATAAAGTTTATTTTGATTTGATTTTAGGCAAATCTGTACGCTATAATGAGCAACTGACTAACAATAACTGGTTTATTGTTAAATTTTTCCAAATTTTTGTCTGTACATTCTTGATCTTTTTCAACTAAAAATTTCATATAAAAATTTTTTATTTTTTAAAACAGTATTCATTTGGTGATTGTATAATAATTTGTCATCATTGAATTCTTTATTTTACATTATAAATAAAAAACTTTAAAATAAAGTTGAAAAAAAAAAAAAAACAAAAAGGCATCTGAAACACCACATAAATAGCGACAGCAGGAAAAAATCTTTTTTTTTCAACAACAACATTAACAACAACAATAAAATATCGAACCACTGTTCCACCTACTTACAGCAACTGTGTTTTAGAAGCAAAGACAAGTGTGCTTAGAATTAAGCAAAATTTTATACATAATATCATCTATGGGATTACTGTGACCAGCTCAGGAAATACATAGATGCAAAAATGAGATCGAGAACTCTAAAAGTCATAAGAAACCGGCAAAATACGGAGCATAAAGTGTCTGAACAAAACAGATAAAAAACACAAAAGTGGAATCAACAGTGGAAAACAAGTGAAATGGTATTTTCACAAAAAAATAAGCCTTTACTCTAGAATTCTGCTGGAAGTAAATATATTAAAATTTACAAATCAGCTGAGATTTTCAAAAAATGCTCAGCGTTAAAGAAGTAAAAAGAGATAAATATGCAATGTATTTGTATGCAATGCTATTTAAATGTACATCATTTGTGTTTACCAATTTACCAGAGTAAAGCCGCAAAGTTTTGGAGAAATTAGAAGAACAAAAAAAGAGAACAAAAGAAGAAAGCAAAAAGCCATTTGATATGTTGATATGATAACTAATTTGTTGATTTTCGTTTCCTTTTTGTCTTTCTTTTCATTCTCAAGTTTTATTTGTCGTCTACCATAGAGTACCATCATTATATGCACTCTTGATATACGTTTTATTCTTAACCCATTCTTCACAAGGTCTCACAGCGCGACCATCCAGTGCATCAACAGAAAGATCCAACAGAACACCATTTAATTTCACATCCGCAACACAACCAACAAAATTATGCTTATGCAATCCGGCAGTCATTTTTTCCAAGTCCGGTAAACCGCCTAAAATTTTTTTTTAATCAAATTAGCAGCACCATTAAAATAAATTCTGCAAAGACAATGTAAAAAAAAGAACAAAGACAATACCCAAATAAACATGTCCTGGTACGTTTAACATCGAAAAAATTCCAGGTGCTGAACCAATAACCACTTCTTGATTATCCAATTTTAGACTTCCAATACGACCAACTCGAGTTACTCGCAACATGTGCTGTTTACTGTCATTTACTAGCCCCTTACTTTCAATTTTTGCTGGTCCTCCACCCAGATTATACCTGAAAATATTTGGAAAACTAGATTCACCTTCAACCATTTTAATACTCCAAGCAAATATCCTTTTCGTAAATGCAGTCAAATTTTGCATTTAGAACAAAAATGAATGACAGTAGAAAGCTTACGAATAGACTATGTGTCCATCTTCAACACCAATAGAGATATAATCTTCTTCAGCCAACGGTACTTCTGACGACTGTCCTTGCCAAAATATAACCTTTACAAATACTTTTCGCTAAGATGTTGGCAAGAAAAATTGGAAAAAAACAGATTTTTTAGCTTATTGGTTTTTTAATTAGATTTTGATAACAGTCATTAATAACTGACTGTAGATCACTTCTGAAACTACTTATTTACTTTAATTGTTACAAAATTGTGAAAAAAGCAAGAAGACCTAATACCATATTTCAAAAAAAGTTAGAGCAATTTTTCATTATTGCAGGAGAAGTGAAGAATAACATACTCCGTCTGACGAGTTGGTGGTAAATCTGAATTTAATTGTTTCCTTTACCTCAGAGTTATTATGCGCAAATCTGTCAGAGGCAAAAATAATATAAGCTTTTCCGTTGAATAACGCAGAATGTTCAATCAGTTTAACTGAAAAAAATAAGGCATCAAATAAGCAACGAGATTTTACAGCAAAGATAACAGCAGTACAGCTAACTTGTACTTTTTATAAAACATTTTCTCTCAAGATCACGTTAAAAAAATGATGTTATTTAGTCACTGAGAGTGAGAGTGACGAACTAACATTTTTTGCAATTAGATCCGCCGTAGAAAGGTTTACAGGTACATTTGAAATGCGTTGAATTGAGTGTTTCACAGATACCATTTTTGCCACATGTATTCGGCTGGCAAACCAGAGGTTTTTCTTTAAAAAATTTTGTACTTACCGTATGTCTAACACTTATTAATTTATAAAAATCTTCTTTCCCTTCTACGCAAGAGTTACACACTTTTCTATATTATACCTACTGGAAACATTAACAAAACATAAGTAAACAAATTACAAGCAACCAAATCAATTCTATGGTATAAACTGCAAGCACTACGCAGAAACCTAAAATCATTTTTTAACATTCTGTCAGCAAATAGTTAATCATTAATGATATAAAGACCAAAAGAATTCAACACGAAATTCAGTACAGTTCAATCGGTTCTTCCTTACACTACCTCTGAATTTGTAGTAAATTAATAGTTGTTCTTTACTCTAAAGATATGCATCAAAATTTTTTTCATACCTGTACTTGGAACAGTTGAAGAAGCAGGAGTTGTAGTTGTCGTTGGTGATGTCGGTCTCGTAACTCTTATTGGCTTTCTTGTCGGAGGAAGCCAGTTGAGCTCACAGTCTGATATTCCTCCGGAAGTGACTAACATTCCTTTGTTTAGAAATATTTGAACACCATTAAGTTCAATCTAAAAAAAGCCTTCAAATTCCTACATTTTAAAACAATACAAATTCAAAAACCTTCCAAGTCACTGGCTACTGATTTGCTTGAATGATAAAAGTTGTAAAAACAGGCTGGTTTCAATAAAAAACTTAGAAACACACAAAATCTTACTGAAAAACATCTATCCTGCAAACTAACCAATGTTACTTAAGGACCTGTCTCGCACCTCGTAACAGTGGCCAAGTTAAACAATATTGTAAAGAAAATTAGCAACATACGTTGTGAATGCAACCCTCGAAATAGCTGAAAACATCGAGTTTAACGTTTGGAGCGATTCCTGGTGCCAGTCCGCCAATAAATAATTCAGTTCCAACTTGAAAAGCCTCAAGTTTTACTTCGCTAACAAAACTGCGATTATTAACCGACATCTCAGTTCGCTGTTCAAGCCTTTTCAGCACCAGTTCATAGGCTTTTCCTTCCCGGAAATTCCCCCCATCAATTTCGCAGCTTCCTAAAAAAATTGATGAAATAAGTGTTACATCGGTAAGTGTTACGATTTCCACCAGTTTTTTTATTATCTTCAAAGGCGACTTTTCAATTTACTGCTTCAACAAACCTAAATCATTATTGTATACAAGAACAAATTTCCCGTTTCGTATGGTTAGTGCCAAAAATTTTGATCTTATTGGGTCATATCCTGATGCTACATAAACTAAAAGTTGACTCTTCTTCCGTTTAGGAGTAAGTGAAATCCGTAACTGCAAAAAAATTTTTATTTTTTAATTACTTCAGACTTTCAAAGAGCAAACAGAATAAAGAATAAAATTTACCTGTAATGTAGAGAAAAAGTTTAAAAAGCGAATAATATAAAATTGATATGCAGCTTATTAAACAAAAAAAGTTATACCGTTAGCCTCCTCATACTGATGGGTATTCGGATAGCAATAAATGAAGTCTTTCCATTAAATTGGTAGGATGATGGACTTGGAAGGTGCAACATTTTTTCACAACGTCGACCTACATAACCGTATGGACAGAGGCACTGTTGACGGTCTTCGTAGCGTGCACAGAACCCAGCATGGCATGTATCTTAAATACTTGGATTCATTAGATACCTACTGGGATTCCTGAAGAAAAAAGTATTCTAATTACATAACGGCTTGCTATCTACGTTAAAATAAGCAAATGACCAGCCACTTTTTTCCAAATTCTGCAAGACATCGCAGCGCTTTGAACCAAAATTGGCTCTTTCCTTCCATATACAAAATATTTGAAAGTCCGGCATAAAAAACACGATGAAAGTTGTAAGAAAAGTAATAATTAACACCTCCGTTACACTCATTAGAGTAACGTTCGCAGAAGTCGCCAGTGTATCCAAGAGTTGCTGAACAGTCGCAATAGAACCCTCGGAGGTTATTTGCTGGGACGCAGTGGCCATTGTGCAGACAACGATACGGTGATAAGCAAGTATTACTTTGTTCAACCGTTCCTTGTTTCACTACATCCTTTGAGGCTAAATCGACCAAATTTTTGTTTATTGCCAGGTAGTTGATAGTGCCTAAAAGGTGAGATAGTGTGAACACGGAAAACAAGATCGCATAGTCAGAAATTTCATCCTGATATTCGAAGCAGTAACCCTTATATTTCTGCGAAAGGCAGCCTGGTTGAAGGACGCTCGGCTGGGGTAAACCAGCTACGAAGAGATCTTTAGCGGAATCAAAATGAAACGTTTCGTTATCATAACTTCGTTCCATATCGTAGTCATTCATGTTCATTCTCAAACTACCTTAAAGATTGTAATATATTAGAGCAGGTCGAAAAGTTATATAACACTGATCAAGCAGTTGAAAAACGCAAAAAATAAAACGAAACTTCTGCTAGCGTTTGTCTACATTTTAAGAGACCCTAATTAAATCAATTACTGCTCGTAAAAGAAAAATTAAAAGAAAACTATTTGGAGTCTTATCAGACCTTATCTGCAGTTCAGTTATGGTAATTTATTAACAATTTCACAATTTCACTTCCAAAAAACCAAGGTTGTCGGTGAAATAACAAAGATAATCTTTTTATCGGTTCAAATCCTCTTCTAAAAGCCTGAAAAAAATAAAAAAAATCTTATAATATATTAATAAATATTACTTCCTTCCGAATTTTTCCTCATCTGAACACGATGCCATTGTTTCAACTGAATAGAAACTGGACTCTCGATTTCCACTAAAAACATAAAAGAATATTATGAATTTCTGACGACTTCATGGCGCAATTTGACAAAATGGTCAGGTCTTTTGAACAGTTTGCTATAAATAGCTCCATTTACCAACCTGGTCCTTGGCCAACGTCATAGAAAAACACAAGCTTTCTATTATTCAAACATAGTCCCATGTAAGAACCACCGCTTTCACTGCCATTAGTGTTTTTACTTCTAACAAAGAAGATCAAACCTGGTAAAAGCACATTGCTGAATCAGATGCAATAAGTTTTATTAAAGAAAAAATTAACATTTTGATTGCTTACAGTCTATCTCCGTGTTAAATAAAACACTAAGAAAAAAAACTTTCAGTTGTGTTTCAAAACAAAAATTATTTTCAAAATCATCAACATATTAGCTGCTGACAGTACCTGACGACGAGTGTGGTTCAATAGCGGCTTCTAACTCAACGTTGGTCCAATCTTCATCTTTTAGGCCTTTTATAAGTAAGCCATCACGGTTGAAGTACGGAACGAAATCTTCAAAGGTCCTTAGTTGAATTTATCTCAACTTATAAAATTTTATACCACAATTTATGTTATAATCATGGCAAAAATAGCTAGCCAAAGAAACCTAATCTGTAACAGCGCAAACGAGACAATTACCTGATACTAACAGTTTAACGTATCGAGCATACTTTGTACCAGTAGCTGAGCTGAATGAGCATTTGTAGAGTCCGGCATCATCTTTTTTCAATGATTTCACTTCCATACTGCCACGATCGTAACGACGATTTTCAGGTAAATTTCCAGCAACCTTCTCCCAGAAAGTTTTGTCCGGAACACTTGGGTCGTCTTTCGTCGAGCATGGCAAACGTATCTAAAATATGCTACAGCTTTCGCATGTTTGTTTCGAGAAGCTATAAAATTGAAAACTTGCGAATACTTCATGTTGAGTCGTCAATCCAGTTCCACTGCACCCATGCAGCCAAATCAGCGTTTAGTACAGAATACAGTACAGAATCATTTTTAAATCCAATTTTGCCACCATCTGTCTTTTCCCTTTAATTCCTCTCCTATCTAAGAGATTTGTACTTTTTATGTGCATAACAAAAACAACAGTCCATTCTACTCTGCTGCATCACTCCTTTTTGTCTTTCCCGCATTTCTTTTTCTTATTGAAAACCCACTAAACATGCATTTACGACAAGTTGGTAATGTAAAATGCTGTTTAAAAAAAAGTAAACTATAATAATGGAAAAAAAGGGAGAAGAATCACTACATCAGTAGGCTACAGATGATGATGAAATATGTACCACGCCAATTAAGTTAGTCATATTATTAAAACTATATTTGTCAATCCATTTCCATTATTCCATACGTCAGATACTGCCCATATTAGACAACTGTCAAACTGATTTAATGATTAACAAGAGGAACAGTCCTCAACAAACAAGTCAGCGTTTGTATCAACTGCATCTGATTATGAATGATATATTAATTACTGCTAGTCTCGTCAGTGCATCAGATGCTGTTCTCTTTGTGAACTACCTTTAAATTTCAAAATGTTTCTTCTGGGTTTTGACAATCTGTAAGTTGTGTGATTTCATACAATTTACTGAAAATTGCATCAGTAATTTGCTCGTTTACGCATTGCTGTTAATTGATAACAAATGTACTTGCAATATTCACAGGTCATTATATTGTTTTTCTGGATGGTACACTTCTTCTTGCGCTATTAAAGTGCTTGCTGTATATGGTTACCAAACACCACAACTGGTCATCACTTGTTACTGTCATTCCACTACAAATGCTAGAACTGTAGTAAGAGAAACACTGCAATTCAACTCTGTAGCATCATTTTCATCAACCTCATCCATTCAAAGACATTGTTGCATATGCAATTGTTAGATTAATGGTAGCAGTAGTAGTAGTAGTAATAGTAATAGTAGAAAGAATAGTGATAACAGAAGTAGTGCTAGTTGCTATGCTAGTAGTAGTAATAGTAGACGTAGTACTAGGACAATTGGGTAAATAGAAAGCACTCAATATAGAACATACCTGTCCACCTAAAATCCCTACCAACGTCAGCGCTTGAACGGCGTTTAAATGTTCATTCAAGAACTTACCTAAAAACGACAATATGTATCCCACTGTTTACACGAATGTGTGTTTGTTTGCCTGCACTGTTAAAATGTATTTGGCTTATACCATAAGCTATAACTATAGCTGCTGTTACACACACCAAAACAACTTTTTTAAATCTTTTTTTGTTGTCTCGTAAAAGCAAGCAATTATTTCAACAAATCAAAAATAGGCAGTCTTTTTTTTTTATTTTAACTTCTTTCTCTCTTTCAAATGTGTACAAAGAAAAATTCGATGCGCCTTACACAGACTGTTGAGCAATCCAACAACAAAAGGTTTGTTGACATACGGGAAGAAAAAAAACGGGGTCATATAAAACTTTTTTTTGCAACACCATTTGTTAAAAGAGTAGGAGACTGTTTTCGTTTTTACCAAGTCGAAAACAAGCATCCAAGACAAAAACCTTAATTGCAAATCTGAAACGATATTAAAAATGAACGAACAGAAAAAGGACAAATAGAAATAATGCAAAAGATAGCTCGAACGAAATGGCAACACCGTGGAAAAAAAAGGAAACAATTTTTTTTTGTTTCTTTAGCCTCCCCATTTTGTTACCAAATTTTATGACCAAATAAATTAGATTTTTGCCTCCTCGCATCAGTTGTCAAACAGTCTAACCACTTTTTTAACTTCCAATGCCAAACTAAAACCCAAGTTGCAGTGCTAAAATCAATGGCTACGGTTACAGGAAGATGAGTATGAAGAAAATCGAGCTATCAAGATGCTACAAACCACACGCTAGCCTAGTCACACTTTCACGTTAGAAAATAAAGCTTGAAAACTTCTTTACCTGAAAACAAAAGAAAAATGAAGGAAAATGGCAAAACTTAAAAAAAAAAAAAAAGTTAAAGAAGTGACATATACCTGTCAAAAATTAGTGAAATAAATCAAAAAATAAAAAAATTAAAAGGTTAGTTTTATATTTTTAGCATAATACTATATTTCTGTCACACCTGTCAAGCAATTAACTATAATTTTTTTTTGCTGTTGTCGCTTTTACGGTTTTTTTAAACTATTGATACATAAAAGATTAGACGCAAACACAACGAAAAGCTTATATGCACAGCACCAGTGTTCAGTAATAATCAATATTTATAAATTCAACTTTCACAGTAAGATGCAGTAAAAACATGCAAAATAATAAACTGCAAACAGAAACAAAAAGAAAAAAAAAGAAGAAAAACAAAATTGAAGTAAACAAACAAACAACGCAAAAAGGCGCACCGAGAAACTTAAATTCTCCATCTACTGTACTGCTTCATTTTTATTTCAAATTTTTTTCTTTGAAATCCTTTTCATTTTAAAGAGTTGATTCCCATTCCCCAAATAAGCGCCTATGTTTTCTTCCCGATTTTAACTTTTTATGCAATCTTTTATCTGAAATATGTTTTCGCTTGCGTTTTGTCTTTTCAACATGTAAGAGTTTTCGTATCGATAGTGGCGTTGACTGTTCTTCTAACATTGCACTACACTCATACAAACCACCATTGTCGTCTCGAATACTGTCAAATATGAGTCGACCGTTTTCTACCTGAATACCAGTAATGACTATGCAAAAACAAGCGACAAGAATAAATATCTTTGCTAATTCTTTTAAAATTTCAGCAAAATCTAAATTCAATATTGTAATTCCTAAATGCTATCAAACATTACTCTAATAACTACCTAAAAAAGTAAAAAGCAATATAAAAACGATTGAAAACTTTTGGTTTTTCTAATTCCAAGTAAAATGACGGTTACTCCCCGTGATTTTCTTTGTCTTTCAAAAAAATAAAACGCTTGTTTAACCAGGAAGTATAACGAACCACAGCATTATCAGGAAGTTCCAAACTGCCCACTTTCTTCCACACTACTGGAGTACTTTTTCTGCCCTGCACTGTGCAGTGTAACCATGCTGGTCTACCAACATGAACGGTGCCGGACGCGCCGTCAACCTTCAGTCTGACCATTTTCGGTTCTTAAAAAAAATTATCCAGTAGCTTTCTAACAGAATACCACTAAGGCAAAAAAATCAGCAAAAGTTTAATGTAAAACTTACCATAAACTTTTGCGAGAACAGTTCCCCTCAGGTTTCTACCACCAACCTGCACGTTGCATGTGTACCGTCCTTCATCATTGACATCAAAGTTTTTAATTCTGTAGTTTGTTAATATTAAAAATTAACAGAAGTTTTTTAATTAAATAACGGTTATAAATTTATTCAGGTTTAAAGAAGATGAGCAAGCTGTAAAAACTGACACAAGGTCGCTTTGGGTTGGATCAGAGGTGTCTGGAAGCGGTGCATTATTTTCCCTCCTCCAATTTATGTTCGAGCCAGGAATTAAGAAAACAGAACAAGCGAGATGTGCTTCAGAATTCGCGTCAAATTCTTGCTTATTTGGAGCTAAAACAACTTCTAATTTTTAGAAGAAAAGATTTGAAGAAGAGAAAAAAATTTGCAGTCGAATTATAGACGAATAAAATAAAGTGGGTTGTTGCCTGGAGCGAAACTTTTCAAGCAGACCATTTCAAAAGAACGAAGCAATTTATTCGTATACATAAGTTCTAATATCAAAAAAAAAAA